GATGAGCACCGCTGGGATTAGGGTTACCAACTTGTCCTCGTTTTCAGGAGACTTTCTCAATGTCAACACTGAAAGTCCTACATTCCTTCCAAGAATCCCTCAGCTCAATGCAAACTCAGCTAATAGGACTGGTCACCCTACTAGCAGTCCTAAATCATAGGGGACCAAACTGCGGGGGAAAGTAGGGGAAGAAGCAAGAAAAAGACTAGAAAAATCGGAAAGCTGTGCACGGTGTCTATGACTTTTGATGGCCCTCAAGGTTACCATGGATTTCTGATTCTTGCTTTGAGTTTATGTGATTATAATGATGTGCTTAATTCCCACCAGAATTATCAGTATAATAATAAAAACCAACAAATGTGAACACATGTCTCCAGTACCATGCTAGTTTATTGCAGGTATTATGTCATTTCTTTCTAACGATAATTCTCTAAGGTAAACATTATTATTAACCCTATGGTAAGAAGTCCCACTAAAGATATAACTTATGCTTTCTCAGGTCTAGAGAGAAAGACACCAAAATGTCACCCTGACCATCCTTGAGAGGATAAACGGCCAGGCACGGTGGTTCACGCCTATAATCCCAGCACTTTGGGAGGCCGAGGCGGGCGGATCACAAGGTCAGGAGATCGAGACCATCCTGGCTAACACTGTGAAACCCCGTCTCTACTAAAAATACAAAAAATAGCCGGGCGTGGTAGCAGGCGACTGTAGTCCCAGGTACTCGGGAGGCTGAGGCAGGAGAATGGCGTGAACCTGGGAGGCAGAGCTTGCAGTGAGCCGAGATCGCGCCACTGCACCTCATTCGAACCAGATCTTCGTGTTTTTCTCTTTTGCACTCCAAGCCTGGTCGCACAGAGCGCGAGACTCTGTCTCATAAAAAAAAAAAAAATATATATATATAATAATAATATATCTATCTACGTGTCAAAAAATATAAAAATTAGCCAGGTGTGGTGGTGCACTCCTGTATTCCTAGCTACTGAGGTACGAGAATCGCTCCAGCCCGGGAGGCAGAGTTGCACTGAGCCGATCATGCCACTGCACTCCAGCTGGGTGGCTGAGCAAGATTCTGTCTCAAAAATAATAATAAAGACGATAAACTTTTGGAGCATTAAAGGTCACTCTTCCTCTGGAGATAATCAAGGTAGCTGTAACTTAAGCCTGAGCTGATTGTTAAAATGTTCAGAAACAATATGATCAAAACCATTTAGGGGGTGGGGCCTCCTCCTATAGACGATTAAGGCAGCTACCCTCAGAAGCTCTATTATACTGGAAGAGAGATATGAGACCCTGCTTTAAGAATCAGTGAAGCTGGGTGTGGTGGCTCAGCCTGAAATCCCAGCACTTTGGGAGGTGGGCAGATCACCTGAGGTCAGGAGTTTGAGAACAGCCTGGCCAACACGATGAAACCCTGTCTCTACTAGGAACACAAAAATTAGCCGGGCGTGGTGGCGCACACCTGTAATCCTAGCTACTCCAGACGCGGAGGCAGGAAAATTGCTTGAAGCCAGGAGATGGAAGTTGCAGTGAGCCGAGATCGCGCCACTGCACTCCAGCCTGGGAGACAGAGCGAGACTCGGTCTCCAAAAAAAAAGAATCAATGAGAAGGGGCTGCCTGACCCCTGGTGGTGTGGATGATCCTTCGGGAAGGAACTGGAACCCTGAAAACCCAAGCAAGACGACACCCACAGCTGGACTAGGCCCTGAAGAAGGAGATCATCCTCCTTAGAGATCCACAGCAGCTGGGAACCTGGATCTGCAGACCCACTTGGTTTGATGGTACTGTGTGGGACCATCTGTCAACACTGACACCCTGTGGCACTGAGAAGCAAAGGCAGCAGCCGGCTAAGCCTCCAGGCTCTCCCTGCTGGAACTAAAAAGTCCAAGTGGCCCCCTTCTTCCTCCCTTTTTGGTTTTGTTTGTTTCGTTTTGTGTTTGTTTGCTTATTTTTGTTTTCATTTTCTTCAAGATGGGGTCTCGCACTGTTGCCCAGGCTGAAGTGCAATGGCGGCATCTCAGCTCACTGCAACCTCTGCGCCCCGGGTTCAAGCGATTCTCCTGCCTCAGCCTCCCCAGTAGCTGGGATTACAGGTGCACACCACCACGCCTGGCTCATTTTTCCCTTCCTTTTTGGATTCGCTCTGCTTCAAGGCACTGAGGCCATGAGGCAGCGTTTGCAGATACAGGATAACTACAGCCCTGATGCAGCTGATCCTGACACCGAAATGGCTGTGGATCCCCGGATGGGGCGGCTCTATACTCCTGTCTCTGAAACCTGCTTCTTAACTTACTTCCCCAAATGCTCAATTCCGGCGAGGTATGATTTATCTTAGACTCACAGGATGAGAGAGCAGTAGCTCCACCTAGTGGAAACATCCAGGTTGAAAAGGTCATGTTCGGGGATGATGCTATTTTGCAAAGTCAAGATATTTCATGTCCCTCCAGGAAGCCTTCCTTGATCCGAGTTATGCTTTCTCTTAACAATCTGCTTTCCCAGTCATAGGAGTTCATGCACAAATGTAATCACCTAGTTGTTTGTCTAAATGGCTTTCCTAATAAATTTGTGGAAGCCAGAGACAATGTTTTGTTCACTGCTGTATCCCCACAGCCTTGCATGTGATGAAACCGAAGGGTTATTTTTACACTTAATCTATAACACCAGACTCAGAGGAGGTCTGCGAAGAATGGGAAAATGTTTTCCCTCTGCTGTCTGATGCCACCGTTTTTTCTGGCTAGTATCTGCAATTTGGAAGGCTACGCACCTCTCTTTATCTGGAAATCTGAATTTTAGTTTTCGTTTTTGTTTCCTTTGTTTTGTTTTTGGGACAGGGTCTGGCTCTGTTGCCCAGGCTGGAGTATAGTGCATGATCTCAACTCGCTGCAACCCTCTACCTCCCACGCTCAAGTGATCCTCCCACCTCAGACTCTCAAGTAGCTGGGACTACAGGAACGTGCCACTATACGTGACTAAGTTTTGTACTTTTTGTAGAAATGGGGTTTCGCCATGTTGCCCCGGCTATTTGCAAACTCCAGGGCTCAAGTGATTCGCCCACCTCAGCCTCCCAAAGTGCTGGGATTACAGGCGTGAGCCACCACCCCCGGCCTGAGTTTTAGTTTTGAAAGCAGGTAAAATAGGCTGCTGCCCTGAGCTAATGCACCCCCTGCCCTGGGCTGGTTGTTTATGCTATCGACACGGTGTTTTTTCCTTAGAAATTGTGCTTAAAGTTATAAAATGCAGCCAGGAGCGGTGGCTCACACCTGTAATCCCAGCACTTTAGGAGACCAAGGTGGGTGGATCACAAGGTCAGGACTTCAAGACCAGCCTGGCCAAGATTGTGAAACCCTGTCTCCACTAAAAACAGAAAAAGTTAGCTGGGCATGGTGGTGGGCACCTGTAATCCCAGCTACTTGGGAGGCTGAGGCAGAGAATTGCTTGACCCGAGGGTGGAGATTGAAGCGAGCCGAAATCCTGCCACTGCACTCTAGCATGGGCAACACAGTGCGACTCCATGTAAAAAAAAAAAAAAAAA